AGCTATGGAATATTTAACATCTCTAGCCTCTCTTCATAACCATTTTTTTTCAGTTCCAGAAGCCATTTTGTAGCATGCCTTGCACCTATTACAGTTTATTGATGTGCTTCTAGAGATATGGGCACCATACAACTGCTGCATATTCCAAGTTTGGTCTCACAAAAGTCATGAACAGTTTCTTCAGTATTTCACCATCCATGTAATTAAAAGCAATTCTGAAGCTGGAGACTGCACCATATGCTCCTCACACAATGTCCTCTATGTGTTCCTCTGGTGACATTCTACTATCCAGAACCACCCCTAAAATGTGGTGAACAACCTCTTGTTAGTTCTTTAATTCCTTTTCACATAATTTATATGTTCTGTGTGGTCTATTTTCATCTATTCCACATTCCATAACATGGCATTTATTTAGATTGAATTCCATTTTGCACATGGTGCTCCTAGCATTTACTTTATCTAGGTCAATTTGAAGGGTATAACAATTGTCTACATCTCCTATCTTCCCTAGTAGCTTAGCATCATCAGCAAACATGTTCGTATAATTCTCTACTCCTTCTGGTAGATCATTTATACAGACGATGAACATTACTGGTGCAAGAACTGAACCCCTGTAGTACTCTGCTAGTATCACTCCACCAGTCAGATACATTGCCTGTGATTACTGCTCTCATCATACAAATAAACCAAAGAAATATGCTGGTAAACGATGCTAGATAATGCAAACTTAAACCAGTGCCTTGAGAAAATAGGCACAGAAGCACTAGAACTATTTGCAAGTCACATATTACTAAGGAGAAATATAAAAAGATGAAAACCGGATAGCAAGCGATATGATCGCTACATACAAAATTGATATGGAAGAATTCTTGAGATCTGGAACTTCAAGAACAAGAGATCATATATTTAAGCTAATTTAACAAAGCTGCTAAAGATAAATAAGAAAATTCACTTTTATAAACATAGACAGTTGGGACAAGTTAAGTGAGAAGGGGGTGGAGGCTAAAACCATCAGTAGTGTCAAAGTGTTGGGAAGACGGGACACCACGTGCATAACTCTCATCCAGTAACTACACTTAAATAATTACACTTAGGTAATTACACACAGCTCTCCCTACCCTACCAACACACAGCTCTTCTTACCACCCCTCACACATGATGATGATGATTCTTGTCCCTCCGTAGGTTTCACCTCCACACAAACACACACAGCTCTCCTTACCATCCACCCATCCCAACAAACAATCTCTCTTCTAACACAGAAGAAAAGGGATCAAACATGGAAGTAAAACAACAGAACACAGGTGGGGGAAGAAACAGAGCGAGTCAACCATTGATATGATCACCCAGGTATGGAGTGAAATCAATAATGAACTGAAAGATACGAGGGAAACCATTAGCAGCCTAATAAGTGAACTGAAAACAACAAAGTTAGAACTAAAAAGCCTCAAACATAATCCTACTCAGGCTCAGACCCAGATGACCAACCTCAAAGTAGCAGGGAATGTAACAACAGAAGGGACCTCTACAGTGGGAGTCATGTTTTGCAGAAATGCTGAGACAGAGCCTAGAAGCCATGTCCAAAGTGAAGGAAGTTGCAATGAAAGCAGAAACTTCACAGAAAGCAACAAGGTTCACAAACAACTGCTCAAAAGGTAAAAAAAGGAGCTGAAGTTGTGGTAGGCATTTTAGGAACAAGAAGGTACCAGTCAGAAAGAGTGGAAAACTAAGGGCAGATCTGCAATGACAGATCCTGAAGGGGGGGTACAAATGGAGATTAAATGCATTGGGAACAATGCATCGAGAAGGTTTTTAGGCTTGGTTGGTATAACAAAGACAGAAATCAACTGATAAAGAATGATTCATGAACCAACCTGTCCTCCTACAAAGAACGTTGCATTTTCCTTGTATGCGTTACACAAGGCCAAAAATTGCCGTAAAGTACTAGAAAATGGAAACTGTTTGCGACATACTTTCTCATTTTCTGTTTTGGGTCCTCTGGTAGGTTAGGAAAGGACACTTTAAATTGACCATTTTCTTGATGTTGGGAAACCTTGGGAGGACGGGCTGCATGAACGAGGCCACAAACAGGAAATTCTAGCAAAGAAGAGCAAATTTCAAAATGTAATGGAATACAAAAAGGTATTCCTTCAGAGGGACATGACCAGGGACGAGAGAATCTGGGCAGCAGATGCTTCTGTAACTACCTCACAAGACAACAAACCCATCCAACTAGCCCTGTCATTAAACAACTTCTACACCGGTGGGAAGAGTATGTGATAATGGACATAGGAAAATTGAACTTCACGGTAATGTACTCAAACATAGATGGAATTACAAATAAAGCAAACGTAATGGAGGAAAGGTCACAAGAGAAAAACCCTGATGTAATACCACTCACATAAACAAAGTTGTGCTATTAAAAAGGGCAAGAACAGCAAAGACAGGAACTGTACAATCTGCTGAAAATTATTTTTCATGGCACTCCAGATTTTACTGT